TAAACATAATTCTCCAGTGTTTTCCCTGAGTACAGCCCAGAGCAGGCTGCTATGAAGGCAAGTATTAGAACCGAGGAGGCGGGACAACATTGTGCTTCAGGTATAGCACGAGTGTCACAGAAGACATGGAAAACAAGGAGTCCAGAACCATAAGTTTCTCGTGTGCTCAGTGCATGCAAGTGGGCTAAAACAGTGGTGATGTGATCAATATCGCTGTCCAAGATGCTGATGAGAGCTCCTGTGTGGTCTAGCCGATTACGAGTCACCAGGAGAAGCCACAAACAAAGGTGATTACGAGCCAGGCAGTGAGGATGAAAGGAAGAGCAGTTGGGGGTTAGGTTCATGTTATATGGATGTGGCACCACATATGTTGACTTCAAAGGTATGGGTTGTTGTCATGTGAAATGGGACAAGCTAGTTCTTCCATGTGTCACAGTACCATAGAAGCTCTTCTCCCCAGTCCAAGGTTTCTTCCAAGTCAATGATGTCGTCATTATTGTGTCCTGATCCTTTGCTATGGACCACTAGTTTGTCTGCTCCAGGAGTGAGGTATGCATCACATATAAGGCCAACAAGCTCTGTAGGTAGAGATACTGGTGGTAGGAGGAAACAGATGGGAGGGAAGAGACCTCTAGATAGTCCGTCTGCCGAATTGTCTCCACTGGGGACATAACAGAGGTGAAAGGAAGAGACATTATTGTGCAAGGCAAGCAGTTTTTGCACCCGGCAAAAGATGAGGTTGGTTTCTCTATTTCGGCTCTTTCTGTTCCGCCACCTATTGATGACACCTTGATTGTCGCAGAAGATGCAAAAATGTGTAGCAGATATGCTGCTGTTGGTGTTGAGTACACAGTGGATGAGAAGCTCAAACCCAACTAATTCTGCCCACCTGATGTCTTGTTGTCCTTTAAGAGTTCTCCAATCCAAGCAAAGAGTCCATGCCTACCAATACCCATTAATAACAACTCCAACTCCAACTCCAACAGAGGTGCTTGTGTCTGAGAAGGCACATATGTTAACGAGTTTGGCTGGACAAGTGATGTGTCATTTGATATGGGTTGAGCTAAGCTTCTGGGTCCACCAGATGAGGTCTTCCTTGATGTGACGTACTGGGTGGTGAGAAATGACTGGACAATTATCGCAGACTCCAAGCATGGATTCCAGTGAAGTGAGGTAGGCTCGACCAGTGGGAATAACCAGGCAAGCATGCAGCAGTTTCTGTATGTCCAGGAGGATGTGGGTCTTCTGCAACCTCCATTCGGCGATGTTCGCCAGGTACTTTCCTTTCTTTGCCTCTAATAACCAAACTGTGCAACGGATAGTGTTCCACAGGAGTCCCAGGCGAAGCACTTCATATGTGAAGGCTGTGTCCTTGAGTATCTCTCACGGTATTCCAAGGAGCAAGGAGATGTGATCAATGTTGGCAAAGGAGAAGGTAAAGGTGGAGTTGAAAATGGAACAAGGGGATAATGACACGAGGTTCTGGAGTGGGAAGCTACAGTCTTTAGCAAATGTCTCGAATGTGTCATGATCAAAGGTGATGCCCTTGTACCAAATGCAACCCCTGGTTTTCTGCTGACCCGATTGGGCCAGGAGGGTGTGTGTCTCTACATGAAGAGCATTGTAGCTATCAAGATATTCACCCTGAATGCAGAAAAAGATATGGTCATCAACCCACTTTGCAAGTGGGCTGAGTTCTGTTGCACATAAGATGTCAATGCCAGTGTCAGCCACGAAACCATACACACTTGCAGAAGGTCCCATCCCAAAGGATACACAGGTGTCCACACAGAATCTCCCATCCAGTAATCGCACAATGGCTGCAGGCCATTGCGAGTGATGGAGAGGGATTGTGCGATAGGCTTCCACAACATCATGGGTTGCCACTTGAGATCCTGGAGGAAGGGAGGCAATGATCGTCCAGATGGTCTCAAATGTTCCCCATGTGCATGGGAAATTGTTAGAGTTAACACCCACATTGATGGATGGGTTCTTGTAAGACAGGGAGGGAGCCAAGGGGAGAGAGGGGTTCTGTATGATCTGTTATCTTCCTGGTTTCCCACTTTTTGGAATGATGGAGATGGGTGAGGATTGGAAGGGTCCAATGGAGGACAGTAGTTTGTCATAGGTAAAGGGACCAATGTATTGACCAGTATTGAGTTCATGTCATATCCCGCATTTCGGATCCAGACCTAGCACACTCATCATTTCTGGATTTCCAAATCCGGCCGACTTCTATGTATCGTCCGGATCCAACCCACATCTAACTTCCATGCCTTATCCCTTTGGTATTTCCCTTATCAGTTAGTATGCTTTATTTTCCGTCCCTTATTCATTTCCATCTTCATTTTACTAAGTTCCGATAGACTAGTGATAGTCGTCCCATATGTTTTCTCCATAGCCTTGCATAGCCTCGCACTGCACTGACTGTTTCTCCGTTATGTCCTCAGTAGTATATAAACCCTGTACAGTCTCTGTAGTTCCTCAGTTCGAATATTATCTTAGACTCTGCTCATTCCCTTCTCCGTCCGACTTGAGTTCTCCTCTCATTGTCCTCCGCGAGTCTTAGGATTGACTCCTATAGACTTGTCACCTCCGCTGTTTCCTTTCTAGTTCGGACTTCATCCGGATTAGTCTTATCACTTGTTTCCGAACATCCGCCGGAATTCCCGCGCATCAGACATCGGACTCCAGACATCGTCCAACAACCTTCGGACATCATCCATTAGCCTTCGGAAGTTAGGGGCACGTACTCGGGTAAGGGGCGCAATGCACAAGCTGAAGCCAAGCCCTTCGGATCCGATCCTTGAGCATGTTCTTAACAGTTCATGGGAAAGTAATTTATTGACGGCTTCATGGAAGACGAGTAGGGAAGAACTATTGGGAGGAGTCTGAGTATGTACAATTCTGGGAATGCTGAGATCAAAACCGATGTAGAGACTGACATCTCTGTGGCCTCGTAGAGGTCTAATTTCTGATGCATGTATCAATGCTAATCATTATCTGAATCATTTCCTATCCTATCCGACTCAATATGCACCAAACACGAAAACATTGGACATTGGACTTTGCACTTTGCACATTGGACTATTGCACTTCACATGTACTTGTCCTACCTATGTCATGTCTCATTGCACTAGCCCCACTAGGTGCGCAGTTACTCGTTTTCACATCGCTAACATTGTAGACCACATTATTACATAGGACATCAGACCCGAAAATATTGCGCTACTACTTTCGCCTATAGGGTTTCGGATTTCTACATATCTACATAAATATTGGACTCCCCATAGCATCATCATCATCCAAGTAGAGGAGAGCCGTTCTCTGACGCTTAGGGGTCAAACCCGATATTTCGTAGTTCTTAGTTGACATTGCAAATATTGTCGTTCCTTCACCGCCCATATCTGTCATTGTTATTATTGCGCACACCTCTCGCTTTCCCGATGCTCGCTATCGTGTCACCATTAGTTTCTGATACCCCGAACCTGAACCCAATAACCTGAAACCCCAAAAACATCGGAACCGATGCTTTTTGCATTGGACATCGTAATTATACCTTCGGACATTGTTTCCCATGCTTGGACTATTGACCCCACATCACTCGCTGACCCCCAAAACTATTCCCAGACTGCAGACCCCTGGATTGAATGCACTTGTCTCACCAAGTATAGCAGACTAGGCAGTGCAAGACCACAACATAAAGATATCAGTTTGGAGCCATCTTTGTATAGCCCCACTCTGTGTTGTATTCCTACACTGAAACATAAGCTGACTGCAAGATGTGAATATTTGTTGAGAAGGTTGTGATTTTGGAGTTCAGTTTGCCAAAAGGCCACATTATACGGTGTGATCAGATGGAGCTTTCTATGCTTGAGGGCAGTCCTGAGCTCTGTGCATGGTAGCGAGACAGCCTGAGCAGACATGTCTGTCTTCGTGAGAGTGGCTGGTGCACCTAGCCTGTTGCCAGTCGATGCACAGTACTTTGTTGGAGCCATGAATGAGGAGCTGTTTGTTTGAGCATGTGGTGATCATGGGAAATGCCCCATCCCACACACGCTCGGTGTGCACTCGATGAAATGATGGCTGTTCCTGCCCAAGCAGACTGCGCACACAGCTGAGGAATGAGTGCTGTGTGCACTGTCTTGAAAATCTGACTGAGAAGTTGCCAGACAAGAGGACTGTGGTTTGGAGCTCTTCTTGTTGCTCTTTGGTGAGGCTGGTGTGGTCTGATTGTGTGGGGATTTGGAACACCAAGATCATTTTGAGCGATGAGAGAATGTCTCTTCTCGTCATGTGTTTTGGTTGCTTGTAATGAGAGACATCTGGAAGTGTCATGAAGGCAAAGGTAAGGCACAAGGCAGGAACAAGGTGGGGGATCATCCAGGTAACACATGTTAGGTGACACAAGCAGTCATGTGTCGAAGACACATGAAGTGAATGCAATGTGAAGGCAGAAGGATAGGCGCGAGTCACAAAGAATGTGATCGTGTCAGTCATAAATGCAAGAATGATTCAATTGACATTGAAAACAAGATGAGTTGGTAAGAAAAGGAGCAACAGAAAAATTAGTACAATTCTGCCAAGAGAATGTGTGACATACCTGAGCATCATTTTCTCTGTGGTGGGATTCTCTGAGCACCTGGTCAAAAAGATGGGCAAGAGTGATATTGCTGATAATTGAAAGGTCCCAGGCTCCATTGCCTAAAGTGACTGTGTTGTGCAGGACCTGCGTTGTTCCTCTTGGTATATCATTCAGGCTTGTTGGGCGACTCTGTTGTTAGAGTTCCAGTAGTGGTGAGAGATGATCGCTCCCTAAAAATGAGCAAGCATTATAACATGTTGTTTGGGCCAGTCTTATTCCTCTAAGGAAGCGACTATGCGGAGAACAGCCTGTGCAAAGTCAGCTGGCAGAAGGAAATGATCTGGAATTACATGTTTGGACAGCTTGGAGGCTCCTGCTCTGAGCCATACTGTGGATCCATTCTGTTCTGTAGGTACTAATCTGTCATCGTCCCTGGGGTTCTCAGGAGAGAGAGAGTTTCTTCTAAACTGTCGTTAGTCCAATAGTATAACTCTATGAAGTGGCTCTTGTAGAGCTTTTTCAGGACAAATTCTGATATGAAGGTCTTGTCTTCATTGGTGTCTGGGCGAGGCCTCATGAGTATCTCAGAGTATTTGAGACAGTTCTTTTTCCTCTCCTCCATTCGTGCTGTTTCTTCTTCAAACACCTGAGCGCACTGAAGCTGAACTGATTCTTCTTCAGCTAATTGATTTTGTTTTGTACTGAGACATTCATCCTTAGCTATTTGTTGGCACCATTGTTCATGGAGATTGTCATTGGTTGCTACCCAGACCGCTCATAAAAATTCCGCTGCTTGATCGTCGGTGACTGTGGCAGATGTGAAAGACGTGTGGGAGGTACAATAATGTTCACTTGTAAAATCTGGGCATACCAAAAGGCCTGGGTCTGAGTGTAATCTATTCATCCTATTCAGGTTGCTGTGTGGTTGGAATTTAATTTAGGAAGACGAGAGGATGATCAAGAAGGTTATTTGCGAAATTAAGAACAAGATATGCGCAGTGGGAGTAAGAGAAAAGAAAACTAGCGTGAAATCTTACTCAAAGCGGGCATAGACCTTATTCTTACATCATGTTCATGCCTCACACTTGGTCAGAATTCAACTTAAGCAAAAACTCCTAGTATCACTTTTCACTTGCCAAATGTATAATACAAGTTACTTGACAAAAAGATTAAGATGTTCCCAGGACAGTATCTAAGGGTAATTAGCAACCTTCAAATATCATCAATTTAGAAATATACTCAAGTTTGATCTGTAAGTCTGGTAAGTAACATTTGCCACCTCTGAAATGGCTAAGACAGAATATGGCCATATGTCTGTCATCTAGGCTATTACAATATAGAAGCACTTATAATTTCCATATGATAGCCCTTTCAAGCTAGGATCTAGAATTATCCTCAACTTATATGCCAGCTTTGAAGGCCACACAGTATGTTTCATAATATTTAGGCCAAGAAACTTTAAATATCCTTTGCAGTACAAAAGCAAGTGAGCAAGTACATGCCAAGTACTATTGCATAGCTTGCATAATTTATATATTCTGCACTGTGTCAGTCAAAGGCTTCAAAGGGCTCTAAAGAATATTCAATATGATGATGCTGCTTAGGAAAATAAAATAATCTTAGTGGTGTGCCCTCCCATGATCAGACAGGTGTTCAGCAGCACATGTCAGCAGCTCGAGCTACTGGAGAAGCAGTCCCACACGAGGCACCACACCCAGATGTCATCAGTGAGCAAAGGAAGCGTGGCCATGACAGCATTGAAGATGTGCCCCCAGCACCTCAGAGCGCCGAGAAGAAGCCTCGTAAGACAAAGAAGGCCCCTGCAAAGACACCAGCCAAGCAATCGAAACGGAAAGCAGCTAAGGTAAAGGTGGCTGACGAAGGCAAGAAAGCTCTGGAAGAACTGGAAGATGCTGTCAATTGGACTAACAACGAAACAAGGATATTGCTTGATGCACTCCTGGGTCCTGATAGTGAGCTCTACAAGGAGCTAGGCGCAAATTCAAGATATGCCTACAGAAAGGTCAGTATAAAGTTTAAAAGACAGTCATTAGCACTCACAAAACGCATGTAGGTATCTGAACAGAAATTCAGTGGCAAACGGAGTCCTGAATCAGTCAGAAGCAGATATGAGCGGCTACGGAAACTATTCACATACATATTAGCATTTGAGTCTATGACCGGCAATGGTGAAGGTGATCCTGATGTCGAGGAGCTTGATGAACAGATTAAGAATGCGAGAGCAGCAGGGAAGGATGTAGGAAACCTCTCTGGGATTATGCTGAAACGTTGGTATACTGAGGGCTGGTATGAGCTGTTCAACAACCGGTGAGTATACAAACTTCAGTGTTGCATGAATGTGTCTCACCCACAGCTGAACAAGCCTTGGCGAGCACCCAGGACTAGTGCGGCAGCATGACTTTCACTCAGGCACCATTTCAGACATAGTTGAGATTAGAAGTGACGAAGGCGCTGGCGGTGATGGCTTCGAGAGCACTGATGCAGAGGAAAAGCCAGCAAGGAAAAAGGGAAACAGAGTGTCCAAAAGGCAAGAAACACCATCATCCTCGAAAGGTGTTCCTGCGCCGCGCCACAAACGGAAGTCATCTCATACCAACATGGGCAGCGAGCTCGCGGATTACCTTGTATCAAATGCTGAGTATACATCAGTGAACTGGTGAGGAAATTAGAAGATCGTATATAACAATATATAGTACACAATCACAAACATCAGCATAATCCTGCTATGGACCATCACATTGTCGTGTTTGACTTTGTAGAGGAAAGGAGGCTTCCTGATTTTCCTACACATGTTTGTGATCGGGAAAAGACTCGCACATTTCTCAAACTCACACTCGACAGGAAGGTAGTGCAAAAGCTACTGATCGGCACCATCAACTGGAAATGCTTGAAGATTGTCATTTGTATTATAATTGTCCAAGTAAGAATGAAAGACAATATCCTTCCGATGAATGATGATATTTCGGTGAGTGAGTGAGGATAATATGTGTTCACCAAGTGCGTGACAATCAAATTATATCTCGCTTCGCATATCCATGCGACCTCCTGTATTTATCAAATAACCGACAGTTGTAGTTCCCTTTGGACAATGCCTCAAGAGGTCGTGGCCTTGCGCGAATGCTGTATCATTATGATGTAGTTCATTAGCGCAGGACTTGATAGTAGTGGGTCATAGACCACCCCAGTGCATCACGTACCATTTGACGGGCATAGCATGTATTGTGTCATGGTTCAGGAGAATTGCATGTGTTCGCGCGCTACAGGAGGAATTTTGTATGCATTCATTTCCGCCCTGAATGCTTTAAGTTCTTGATCCTGTGACTATGTTATTATTATGCAACAATTCATATATTCAACGAATTCTTCAAACCGCTAAGAAACATTATACAAAACCTAACAAACAAACAAAAGCTCAATGATTTTGAATGTTGTCGGTGGGGACGTTGAAGTCGAGACGTCATCCAATCATGTTCATTTAGCAGGTCCAAACCGTTCTGTCGTGTGATTAGCACGATGATTAAAACTTACAGAGATGACCATGCTTGCGCTACAATTCCTGGATTCACAAGACTCCACTGTCTACTCTAGAATTCTAATGTTTGTCTGGTAGTTATCAATTGGGAATGCATGTGAAAAAGCTTTACCTTTGTGCAGTAGTCGAGATATGTTCACTGGGTGGGCAAATGATCGATTTGTACCATGGTTCGGGTCTCTAAGTCATATTTTTTGCTTTACTAAAGACTGGCAGAGGCACATCACTTGCGACTGCGTTCAAAGAAGTCATAGCTTTGCCTGGACACCGTGGAGTTATCACTCAGTACCTTGACTCAGAATTCCACAGTCAAGGGTCATACACCACCACGGTACGTTGCCCACCATTCAACAGCCTTCACGCACCACGTGCAACTGCGTTATTAGAGATTGTAGCTTTTCCTGGACACCCTGGAGTTGTCACTCAGTACCTTGACTCGGAACTCGACAGTCAAGGGTCATATACTACCACGGTACGTTGCTCACCATTCAACAGCTTTCGTGCACCCGTGCCACTGCGTCCTAATAAATTGTAGCTTTTCCTGGACGCCATAGAGTTGTCACGTAGTATCTTGACCCGGAACTCGACAGTCAAGGGTCATACACCACCACGGTACGTTGCTCACCATTCAACAGCCTTCATGCACCACGTGCAACTGCGTTCAAAGAAGTCGTAGCTTTTCCTGGACACCGTGGAGTTGTCACTCAGTAACTTGACTCAGAACTTGACAGTCAAGGGTCATACACTACCACGGTACGTTGCTCACCATTCAACAGCCTTTGTGCACCCGTGCGACTGCGTTCTAAGAAATTGTAGCTTTGCCTGGACGCCATAGAGTTGTCACTTAGTATCTTGACCCGGAACTTGACAGCCAAGGGTTGTACCCCACCGCGGTACTTCGCTTACCATTCAATAGTCTTCGTGTATACTTAGCCCATCCATCCTTACAATTGGGTGTCTTTGTGCCCTGCGGGGGTGTTATCTATGTGAGCATTTAGAATCCCGATGACTTAGCTTATCAATTCAACGATACGGTGATCGTCAGGCAAAGTAAAGTATTTATATAAACCCCTTAAGAACTGCAAGGAATTAAGACTTTGAATTTGATGGTCTTTTCATTTGCTTTCATCTTGTAAGTATACTACATTATGCACAATGATTGTCGCGAAGACCAGAAGATGCAGAGACTACCGTGAGCATGCTGTACTAGTATTCGCTCGATTTAGCCATGTGAGTTTACGAGATGCTTTCAGCCCAATTTCAACCTTGCAAATGGGTGTTTCATATCAGGCATCACAAGTAACATTATCATCCATGACATTATTAAACTGCGACAAGCAAGAAATTTGAATAAAAACACGATGCTAAGATAATAATAGGTCCCTAGTTTGAATCGAAAGAAGTATCGTCGCGGTGTGCCCTCTGCCTCGCGAGAGCGTTCACAGACATGTTGGCCTTTGTCGCATCGCTGAGATCCTCGCGGCGACTCCTACCAAAAACCTTCCTATGAAACAATTCAACTAATCGGGACTTGTTGAAAGGACAGATAGTGCACCTGGTCCACCACTCCAGGAGTCTGTTGACTCTGTGTTGTGCTTCTCGGCCAGGAGGCCTTTCGAAGAAATCCACTATGATTTTCCAGAATTGTATATAGTCGAAGTCACTGTCGACCGACCGCCACGAGGTAACGGACGAAAGTGCGAATCGCACCTGTGCGATCATCATTTACCATTGATCAAAACAAAACCATTATCATTGCTTACCTGACAGGCAATGTATGCAATAGATCGCGGAGTAACTCTATCCATCTTGATAATTTGTGCCACATGTTTCTTGACCTTGACTCCCGAAAGTGCTTTCTTCGCTCGCCTGTTGTTCTCGACGATATCTGCGCCATCGCCGTCACCCTCGATATCCTTTGCTGAAGATGGTGAGGTGAAGACAGCTTTATAGCCCTGAAAATGAGGTAAGATGATTTCTGGGAAACTCGGATATGACAAACCTGCAAAAGAATTTTTCCCTTGAAAAGCCCGTCTTCCAGATCGTCCGAATTTGCACTGTACTTTTCATATAAGAAGGTCGGAAAGGAGAGTTCCGTAACAATATGGCCCTCCGATCGATCTCGAATACCTGCCCTTACGCTTGTGAACCATTAGCATTGTTCAGGATCCAGGGTGCATTAGTACTTACGCTGGGTTGTTCCAGTCAAGCTCGGCCGGACACAGTAACATACCGCACGCATCATTGACGAATCCACGACAATGCTTATCGTCGGAGTCAACTAGAGGGTCTGGTTTCAGTTCGCGATTAACCCAGTCTGAAATAAGAGTCTTAAGCTTCGAGGTATCATCTCCTCGAGCGCCATCAGCTCCTTGCCTGAGCTAAATAAAAACTTAACGTGATAAAGTCCATCGTTGGTAGAGATAAAACGTACAAATTTTAACATGCGCGTGAAGTCATCGTGCTCCATGTCCGAGGCACTCTTTACGAACCACGAAAAGGTTCTCGTTAGGACGTGATACCCTACATGCAGTCTATCTTGGCTACATAAAGAAGTCAACGGGGACACTGGCTACGAGAAACTAGTCAGGAGAAAAAACTGACTCAACAGTAGCAGCCTCCGCGTCTTCATCGCCATTGACATCATATCTTCTGTCATTTTCTGACACGAGATCCTCGATGCCATCGAATAGAGCGATGATGCGCCTGAAGCCTCTTCCTTGGGCCAGGTAGTAATTCGTTTGCCTGAAGCATGGTGAGCAAACCCGATCCAACGTATGCAACGGCGTTGGAGTCCGAGTCATACCTTTCTTTCACAGCTCGCCCCGACTCAAGAGTCTCTATCTTCTCTTCCAGTTCAGCAATTTTGCGTCTCTGCCGAGCTTGCGTGAACGATGCTTGACTCGGAGATGGTTCTGGTTGCGGAGGTTGCAGAGGACCATGGTCGCTCCGTTGGTCGTCGATGAACGACTCAGACATGCCGCGGCTCAGGTTGCCAGTGATGAGCGCTGTGCTGCCCTCTGTGGATGACATCTATAAGACACTCGGAAGGAAGAAGTTCGATTAGTAGATGAGGAATGAGAGGTGAAGACAAGGGAAAAGAACTCGACCAGCACCCATTTTATATGCTGGTGGGCCGCCCAGATCCGTGACTGCCCTAAAGACTGTTAAGTTAAATATTGAATTCAGCACGGCGCTGATCGTACAAAGTATGCTTCTTTGCGACTTACTAAAAATGGACAGGCGTAGTTAGTGACTAATCCGGCTCGTGACGTCTGAACAGAATCACAGCGACTCGGATGACTCTGGGACGGGTGCGGGCGACGTTGCTTTATAGTTTGACCCATCTGATGACCATGCATTTCAGAAGCTGCGATGGCACTTTCACTAGCTGTGGCCCGGGCAGGTGGGCTATCTGTTTGATGGAAGTCACGGTCACGGTGTGCCGCGGCTGTGAAAGAATCATCGCCCGAGAGGTCTAGCAGTAGTAGTATTAGTAGTACTAGCCACGATTCGGAAGGGTCTGTCGACTCGGACGCACGGGAAGTTCGTTGTACTATTTGTACTGTTCTCTCGATTGTCGAGGTGCCAGTGTCACCGTGCGAATAGAATAAATTTGCACCCTCGGCGATGTGCTTGAAGTGGGGTTTGCCTTCTGTATCCGTCAAAGCAGTAACATTAGAGACGTTCACCGTGACAGCTTCAGAACTGAATGGCTCTGATCATCATGTAGTAGTGTTTGGTGCAAGTAGCAACACAAACATACCGTCCACCGCAAGGCTACACACAAGTATGCACTACATAATCTAGTAGTAGTTGTCTTGTCTCCAACCCATAGTGCTCATGAGCTTCTCCAGCGCACCTGTAACCATGAACGGAGCACATCGGTACCTGGTGCAGGGATTTGGTGAGTCTCAAGGGCCAGACAGAGATGGCACATACCTAGTAGTACTATAATCATGAACGGAGCGCTCATGAGCTTCTCCAGCACACCTGTAACTATTACTAACAGGGCACGTTGGTACCTGGTGCAGGGATTTGGTGAGTCTCAAGGGCCAGACAGAGACGGCACATACCTAGTAGTACTATAATCATGAATGGAGCGCTCATGAGCTTCTCCAGCGCACCTGTAACTATTACTAACAGGGCACGTTGGTACCTGGTGCAGGGATTTGGTGAGTCTCAAGGGCCAGACAGAGACGGCACATACCTAGTAGTACTATAATCATGAACGGAGCGTTTGTGCTGGTCGTCGGTGGTCCAGGTCGCGATGGGCAATCGAGCCCAACGAGGAAGGCAGCGCTGTGGCTGAGTCGTCATGTGTCACATTTGCGTTAATTTTGCAGACCTTACATGATACCTCTAGGCTCACTAGTGCCGCATTTCACCTGCCCCGCGCCGTCCTGAAAAAAACCAATTCAAAATTTAACCAGTGCCTAAGATAATAATAAGTGTAGTATGTGCATATGAGTATTGTCCTCCAATAAGTCGCATCCAGACTCTCCCGTACTAGTAGTAGTAAGAGTCTTACCCGCTCCTCAACAGCATTCAACGTCGTAGTATGGATAGCATCCACCTCTGACCCCAAATCAACATTCACATGACCCGAATACACCGACCTACCAGCGCCAACTCCAAAATACCAGAGGACCCGGTACCACCCCTCGCCCTCCCAACACCTATCTCCTCCCGCAATGCCATAGGCACCGTCTGTCAAACGGTTCATACGCCCATTGAAGCCCACGTCTGTTACGTTCGTGTTCACGCGCTTTACGGGCTTCTGCATCTGATATGCCCATGGAGCGACTCAGGATATTGAGATCGTTGTGTTCGATGACGGGGCTGATAGGCTCGACGCGTGCTACGGCTGTTGGATCAGCGCCTGATGGGATGAATTTGTATTGGTGTTCTTGGATGTACATTCACATGGCTTTGTCGAGGTCGGAGTGGTATGCATTTTGATCGTCTATTGCTGATTTTTCGATCAGACCTTTGCGCATTGCGAAGCATGAGCATAAGATTTTGTAGGAGGAAAGAATAGCAGACCTTTGATGAAACTTTTTCCAGTGCAATCTACCTGCGTAACGATCACCCGTGTGGAAATAGTGCTTGTCCACATCAAGCATGTCTTCGTCGTTGTCAACATCACGACGTGGTCATCAAAGTCGCAGGTCAAGGTTTCATCGTGGATCTCGCACTTTTTTTTTGCTTCGGGCCTACGCTATTGTTCAGGGACTTGATATACGACATATTCCGTGCCAAGAGCTTCGAGTTGTCGCCTATGGGAGACCAATCTGATATCTGCCCATCTGAATAGGGAGCGTCAGTACTGATTCAGTCGAGCGAGATGCCACCCACCCATGAGCTTCTGATCCACCCGCATAAAATCCTTGATAAACCCACTCGCAAACTTTATCAGGTCATAAATCTTTTCCGGTGTTCCAGGTAACACAATTTCCAGCGCGATCTCATTAAGATGCTGTCCATTTTTCGAGCATGCGCAGTGCGTGACTTGCTGCTTCTTTGCCATCTCGCGGAGTTTGAAATTTGAAGCTGCCACGGCAGGCTGCACTCGTTTAAATTAGTCACATTACTGTACCATACCACGCACGGACATCATGTCCTTCATCATACCCAGCATCAAATTAATATGATCACCATGCCATTTGATCTCAGTGTCTTGTTCCATTGGCAGAGCTCGTATGTATTATGTGATATGAACATCAGACTAACACGTCTAAATTTAGACACCCGAATTTGTGTAGGTATTCTCACACACTATTCGGTCTGCCAATTACGGATTACGCTGGTATACTGCAAGTCCACATTCAAACCTCCTCTCACGCTGTATTATAGGTCAACCGCCAGGCCATTCGCCATGAGTAGCTCTTCTGAATCAAAGAGCAGCAATTCCTTGACCAACTCCTCTGGCTCCAATCTTAGGTATGTTTATTTAACAATATGTTCACTTCCACTTAGACATACACCCCAGCAAACCCCAATCGAATGCAGCATCCACACCCCCAACATCTATTGCCACCAGTGGCTCTCCTGCCAAGAGCATGGACTCTCCCATTTTGTCTGCTGACAATCCTGGACTTCGCGTTGAGTGGGCTCGCGCCTTCAACTTGGGAAAATGTCACGCTCGTGATCCCCGTAAACGCCCTGTCCAATACACATTATTTCAGGGCGGCAGACAGGACGAGGATTGCGATTTGCCCACGAAGAGGTCAAAGACCTTGCAAACAACGGTCTGTCCATTTAAACGGTTGCTTTCGGATTTTCAGTTCTCATTTTTTTTTTCAAAGTGGAACTTTACATCTACCCCTTCCTCCGCAGCTACAATATACCTCAACGAGCGCATGCTCGAGCTCTCACGAATCACTCGCCGAGCTATTGCTGCGAGGTTGCGATACCAACGCCTTCGCTCCCGCGAACTAGATTTGATAAAGTCAATTCTTGACGACGAAACCGAGCTGTGCCAGACGCAGTTGAGTGGAGTTGATGTGCAAATTGGCTCCATCCGAAATATGCTTCAGGACGCTGGGGTCGCGCAAATAGGGAGCACAGGTTCTAGGTTTGATCCTAATGATGCGGCTGGGCCCTGGTGTGAAAGTTCTTCCGATGAAGGATCAGCTGCAATCGCCGCATCTCGTGGCAGCTCAGCCTGCCCGTCCGATGACTCAAATTGTTAATTTATTTTGTGTCATCCTATCTCCGTGCCCACATGTGCATTATATGTAGTTTGATTCCAATGTACGTAGTGGCTTTATCGTGACTAAGAAGTTTGACATCCTGAATTGTGTTCTCAGACTCTGAAGCGTTGAAAGTCATAGTACTACTAGTACTTCAAGTTGAGTTGAATTCGCATCCAATTCATTACGGACATTCAAAGTTGAGTTCATGGCCTGTTTTAGTTCACTGCGACTGTTGATTCGGACGTAGCCGATTATTAGTATGCAGACTCAACATATGTAATAGAATGCCCAGTTGTCGATATTGTATCATGACTGACTCGGACCTTGTCAGGGTTTTCGAAGCTTTTTTCTTCACAGTTTACTGATTCGAATGTTGATCAATGTGCAGATGTAATAGAACGCCCGGTAATTGTATGTATTAAAGTCTGCTGACCTTGTCAGGGTTTTGGAAGCATTGAAACTTAGTTCGCTAGCCAGAAATGCACGTATTATTATGTCCTGCAGCACCAAGGTGACCATATTGAATTACTAACTGGGCATAAAGCACTATCACGAGTCTAGGTCTAGGAGCCGTGCCATTCCTTCCAGAAAATAGAAGGACTCCTATTCCTTCGTTCCTCCTAGCTGATTGTACCGCATGGAGCTGAGTCAAACACTTATCTTGATCATTTTGCGGGCACGATTGAACATAATTCTTTATCAGAACAAATCGGAAATGGCATCCAGAAGGCCGCATATCAATCTTGCACCACACCACATGATGTCCTCAAGGTGAGTCAAAATCTTGATCATTTAGGATGCATGATCTGTATTTGACCGAAAATGACGTTCAGAAGACCATAATCGCTTGTCAACGACGGCTCTGAATCAGCCTGAATAGTACCGCCTGTGCCTGTGATGCTCGCACAAGACCTCGCCTGCAATAACCGTAAGTTTATCCAAATACATTGTGACATGTGAGATAACTGAAGGCTGGTCCGACCGCAGTAGTACAATCAACGTTGCTGATTCTTGACTATTTAACTTCAAACATCGCTGATTTAACTTCCAACTTTCCCCCTTCCAAGCCTACTTGATGGACGCCCCAGAATCATTAACGTTTACACCAATTGAGTTCGACCCCGACGATCCCTCCGAGTCTAGTCTGAGACAGCGGGGGATACCTGCTCAACTCGGTTCATCACATTATAACCCATATGCACGCAGCATGCCTGGCTCAAGGCCTTCTACATCGCTAGCGTCAGCAAGCGTAATAGATGATGCCGATAGTGCTCGTTGCACCACAGACTTGCAAGAAGCCCCACAATCTAAGTGTAGCATCAAGGACTATGATAAAACACAGCAACTAGCCATCGAATGGGCGAAAATGCACCTCGTTATGGACAGTGCAACTACTGGCTGGATCAGGAACAGTACCAGAGATGAGAAGGTCAAGATGGAGATGCGCGTTAGGGAGATCATTTTTCATGCCGGTATAAAGTTCGGTTGTGGTATGTGCTGACAACTGCCCCGTGCGCACCCCACCCATCATAGACTAATCTGCGTTACAGAATTGATAGCTAATAACTATCTCATAAACTCTGTAGTCCGAGCCCTAACGAAGGACCGTAGAGAGCTCGCAAAAACGGGCGAAGAATTTGCGCCCCTGTACAAGCTTGAACCGCCGTCAAAGCGGTCCGAGGAGGAACACCAGATTTATATGAACAATCGAAGGGTAGCTATCTACGATGCAAATCAGCCTTTCGAATACTATCTACATGGTATAGAGGAGACTGAGACGTCTACCAATGTCCTGGTCTTCTCAGGTCAAGCTGTCGAAAGTACTCATATCAAGCACTGGTATGAGAGCAAGAAATCGCCACTTTATGATGAAGAAATGAGGTCCTCGATTAATACAACACCCCTTGACATGCTCGCAGAGTCAGCGGTGGGAGTGAGTAAAGCATGTTCTGGTGTGCATCCGTTAATTGAATTTTCATGATCTTTAGATAAGGTGTGCCATTGATCGGTACGTCGAGGGTCGACTCTCCGGATCAAAAGAAAATAACACCCTGCACTTCGCTACCGACGTATATGCCAACGAGCAACAGTTGATCAAGAACGCGATGGTATTTGCCCTCCAGCAAAATATACATCGGGAGTCATTCCAGAAGCGTCTATTATATCTTCATCACAGAGGCCTGTAAGTCTCTCGTTACAGCGAATACAGGCTCAATGCTCATACATTTGCAGTCAAAAATTGCACGAGAAGCTGGGCCTTTCGGCTCCTGAATTTCCGATCCACGTCCCTTTAACAGCGGAGGAGTTGAGCAAACCACGCCTAGTGCCGAGTCATAATACCGCGACTGCCCTGCCCGGGCCTTCCACTTTGTTGCCGTTTGGACAAATAGGTGGTCAGGCGCCATTGATGACGTCGGGACCGCAGATGTCGTTTGTACAGATCTCAGGTGATGTGGGTCTGAATATGTGGGGCTTTCCAAGTTTTGGAGACTCGGAGCAGTCCCGTCTTGAACGAGGCTCCGGGTCCATGTCGACCCAAATGCCTTTCAACATATAGTGCATTTGCCTGAACATCAATTCAAAAGGTCAGCACAACTGCCGACTAGGCCTTCACCTGAGCTAATTTCATCATTCAGAATCATTGTCATTTAAATTACTTCTTGCTTCGTAATGTCCATATTCTTTGCAGCCGTACTACTAGTGTCTCTAGCCTCGTTACTAGTTTTTGATCAGACAGAATTCATTGCTTGTTGATGCGATCAATCCATGGCTGCGGCTGAGCGCTGATCGATGATCATCGATCATTCATTGCTTGTTGATGCGATCAATCCATGGCCACTAATCATACTACATACTTGATTTTGAAGCCTGTCACGAACGTGACATTACGTCAAGTTTGTTTACTTGAGTTGTTTTTGCACAGTGCCTCTTTGATCCCAATATTAATATGACCTGGTCAGTTCAATCAGTATTGCAGTGGAGTTTTGCGTTCATGCTGCAGGTTTCATGAGTGCTGATTCTGGCTTGCCAGCCGATCATCTCTCGGGACAGAAATAATGATGTGAGAGGGTGGACTGCCTTTGTTGACGTTGGACCCTCGGTGAGTATTCCACTTTATCGATCTGCGCCATGACAAATATCTGGTTTTGTCTGGTATCGTGTTTACCCAATAGCTTCTAAATCGACAACATCCACTTCGGAGATGTTGCCCGTGGCGGTATTCCGAGTCGAATTGTCATGTCGTGGAACAAAGAGTACGTGTGCCATTTCTGGACTTCGGAATCCTACAGTTAAGTTCCAAGCACCATGTCATCAAGATGACTGAGCACTTCTACTTCCACAATCACCTCTGCAATGCCATGGAACTACTTAGCATCAATTTGTACGAACTGATCAAAGCAAACAGTTTTGTTGGATTCACAACGGCGTTGATACGACGCTTTACAAGCCAGATGATACTATTGTCTCTGTGCTTGATGTGGCATCATCGCATATTGCGATCTCAAGCCAGAGGTTCGTTAGTATTCTCTCATTGCATGCACTTTGTCTTATGACTGTGTTTAGAATGTCTTATTACGATACCCTGCGAAGAGTGCAGTGCTATCAAGGTCATAGACTTTGACAGTAGCTGCTTAGAGCACAAGAAGAGTAAGTTCATTTTCACCACGGTCCCTAAGATTTTACTGAGCCAAGCGTAGTCTATACTTATATTCAGAGTCGTTTCTATCGGTCGCCTGGAGTTATCCTGGGCATAAACTATCACATGGCTATCGACATGTGAAGTTTGGGTTACATCCTCGCCGAGCTCTATACAGTATCCCCTATCTTCCCTGGCGAAAATGAGCAGGAGCAATTGTCTTGCATCATGGAGGTCTTGGAGCCCCCAGATAAGGACTTCATCAATCGTAGCTCCCGAAAGCGACTCTTCTTCGGTAAGATGACACATTGGCGACCTTCTACCACTTTCCTAATCCTTTCTAAGACAACAACGGCGCACCCCGACCCATGGTGAACTGTAAAGGTCATCGTAGACGACCAGGCACAAACACTTGCTCAAGTTCTACGGTGTCAAGACGATGCTTTGTATGGGATCCTGAGCGAAGGATGAAACCTCAAGCAGCACTGCAACATAACTTCCTCCATGCAGGACGTCGAAGCAAGATCACTACCCCTTTGCCATGTCATACTTTTCCTCGTCATCGTCGATCACCAAAGGCGTCACAGACATGGACTTCACCTCACGTTTCTGCTTGCCAGCCACACCACTGGCAGGTGTATCGTAGTCATTGGCAGTCATCTTGTCCTTCCTCCCCTTGCGTCCGACACCCACGTCTGACGCTGGAGTATCACGACCAAGCCCGGCTGTAGTATCGGTCTCTTTGAGAAGCTTGTTGGCAGCCCATCGTTCTTTCTTGCCACGGGCACGGACAAAAAAATACAATTTTTGAATATTAGGATCAGCCTATATTAATATGTCCTGTTATCTATCTATCTACAATCCACAACGTATATTTCTGCGTCATGCTGTGTTGTGCGTGTCTCAGCGTGTGTGATAGTATGTTTAATTTATGTAAGCAGTAGTCTGACTTCCCGCTACCGGATCATTCTTACTAGTAACATTTTTGAAGCACTTCAACGAACTACACTACAGAGGACTCAAACAACCGCTACCTTACAGCTTATTGCCGACAACTCTAACGTGCAATGCGCACAAGCATTGCATCATCTCTTTGGATTGTTGCCTTTCTGTCAGTCTCGTTTTTACTGACGATGGTGTTCCAATGCGGTGCCCTAGGCTGCTCTTGGGAGAAGGCAAAGGATGCCCGTGGACTCAATAGGCATCGCGCCTCTTGTCATTTGCACAAGAGATATAGCGTTCTTGCGACGCAGAAGAGACGGGAGCGTGCCAAAGAAGCTTCACACCATGACGCAGTGAGTAGTCCTACTAAGCAATCAGCTGTCTTCTTAAACGAGGTGGACTTCAGAGAATCGGTCGTGTCAGACAAACTGCCCCTTTTCGATTACCAGCAGGGTCTGGCATTGGCACTTTAGATTCATCCAGTCTCGACGACTTAGGACTCTCCCTTGACTTAGAGAACGATGACGACATTGAGATGGGTGCCAGTTGCGAAGACAAAGTTGACGAGTCGGATTATTTTGGTTAGCATCCCTTTGCGTGATAGACTACCAGTTTTCTCATTACCTGACACCTCCAGAGCAACCGACGCGCCGTATCAGGCGAATTCCGAGGCCCTTCCATGCCATCGAGCCCTTAGAGGATGAACTTAATTACTCTGATATCGGTCAGAGCTCATTGAGTCAAAGTTTGCCTGTCGTACCAGCTCGATCCAGAATCCAGCGTGTTATTCTAACCCTCAGAGATACACTTCAAACAACTGCCAATTCCTTTGGTCTCTGCCGACTTTACCCTCGTCGTCCGTCGTTCGAGCCGGACAGATTTATTCCATCTGCATTGCTTGCGAGGACGTGCCCAGCTGCTGCTCAAGGATCCCATTCTCCGCCGAAGGTCTTTGCACCACCATACCCGTTTTCTAATATGACAGTCTATAGACTTATGTCGTGGATGAATTCTGGCACCAGTCGTGTGTCAGAAACTAAAGTCGCTGCCCTAGTCAAAGACATGATACTAGCAGAGGATTTTGACAGCAAGGACCTACAGGGATTTTCGGTGAGGCGGAGTCTGCGGGAATTGGACCAAGACGAGGGTGGAAAGGGAATTACCTTTCCAGATGACTGGATCGAGACTACGGTCACCATCGACATTCCAATGAAGTTGAAGGAGGATAGCCCTAGGCTCTTCTCAATTCCTGGATTTCATTTTCGCCCGCTTGTTGAAGTTGTACGCGCTGCATTTGCAGATGCTCAAGCGGGCACGTTCCACCTCATGCCTTTTAAACGTCTATGGAATGATCCTCTAGACAGCCATCAAGAACGGATATACGACGAGCTTTACACGTCTGATGCTTGGTTAGGAGCCCAGGATGATTTGCACAAGCTGCCGAAAGAGCCTGGGTGTTCATTGGAGCGCGTCATCGCAGGCCTTATGTTCTTTTCGGACGCTACTCACTTGGCAAATTTTGGAACTGCCAAGGCTTGGCCTCTCTATGCCTACTTTGGAAATCTGACGAAGTACGTACGTTCATCGCCTACGTCGGGATCGTGTCACCTCGTAGGATTCTTACCTTCGGTGAGTCCTCCTTATTGCATATTTTCAACCATATTTACGCTACCCTCCTCAGCTTCCTGATAGCATCAAAGACGTTTTGAGTACCCTGCCTCGAATATCGAAAACAGGCATGGCCTCCCTTCTCACCTACTGCCGCAGGCAGTTGTTCCAGGCTTGCTGGGAAATCCTGATGGATGAAGAATTCCTATATGCTTATCGACACGGTGTTGTTTTGAAATGCGCCGATGGAGTCATGCGGAGAGTATATCTTCGAATTTTCATGTATTCAGCTGATTACCCGGAGAAGTACGTTTTTTTCATTGCGTTCTCTCAAGATATCAGATGACTCATAACTTTTAGGGCTCTAATAGCGACTATCAAGGACATGGGCTCCTGTCCATGCCCTCGCTGCCTTATACCGAAAAGTTTGTTTCATTGTCTCGGTCTGGCGAAGGATATGAAAAATCGCGTAACTAGCTTTTGAGTCTATACTACAGCGAAGATCGTCAAGGCTCGTGAGTTCATCTATCGATGGGGAAGTACCGTAGATAGCGGAAAGGTTGAAGACGCCCTTGGAGAAGGCTCGTGGGTTCCTATTCTGGTAGGTGCAAAGGGCTCGCTACTGGTCATGATAAACTCAAATTGATGTCCACAGAATCAATTTGCAGTGAAGCTTGGGGCGCTAGGCCTCGACCCATTTCGCATGCTCGTGGTGGACCTAATGCACGAGTGCGAATTAGGTACCTGGAAGGCGCTATTTACGCACCTGATAAGGCTTCTTTATGTACTTCCTGGAGGCACTCAGCTGGTTGCCGCCCTAGATGAAAGGTATGTGGAATTAATAACGGTCCAAATATCTTTACCTGCTAACGAGTTGTTAATTTCGCAATTTCGCTTCAGATTTCGCCAGCTTCCAACCTTCGGGAATGGTGTGATTCGCAGGTTCGCAAATAATACCTCAGAGATGAAAAAATTGGCAGCTCGCGACTTCGAAGACATTTTACAGGTTTGTTTGCATTGTTTAGTTGCCGGAAAGCTCCCTCACATGCCCTCTAGTGCGCTATGCCTGTTTTTGAAGGGCTATTCCCTCCTGAACATGACGCGGCTGTGCAGTCACTGCTATATCGCTTTGCAGAGTGGCATGCACTTGCAAAGCTCAGGATTCACTCCGATTCTACCTTAGCATTTCTAGAGGAAACCTTCAAAACACTCTCCCGGATGTTGCGGAAGTTTCGGACCCACACCTGTGCTGCTTTCAACGCCGTGGAATTGCCGAAAGAGAAGGCAGCGCGTCAACGAAGGTTCGCTCAGCGCTCCGAAGCTCATACTAACGTCGCTCCAGAATCAACTGGAGCAAGGGCGAAGATGTTTAACTTAAATACCTATAAGTTTCATGCTATGGGGGACTATGTGAAAACCATTTGATTCTTTGGGACCACGGATTCGTTTACAACGCAGATCGTATGTATCATCTACATTCTACCGGTATGAACCTGATGACCATGTACAGGGCGAGCTTGCACACCGAGCTTTGAAAGCATTCTACCCACTAACCAGTAAGCTAGACACCCCGGCCCAATTAGCCAAACACGAGCGGAGGCGCCGCGCGCTACGGCGTATAGCAGAGGCAGGGGGTACAACCCCCTCCCTTAGTCAATCACTAGTCGATATTCCCTCTTCTGGAAAGCACTATCGCATCACCACCGGTCAGAATCATCCAATCAGTCTATTCGCATTCATTCGAGAACACGACAGCGATCCGGCTCTCAAGGTAGAAGTCTCATCGGTTTTGAAAGCACCTTAGTACTCACAGTAGCTATTAGAAATTTATACCAAAGCTAAAGGACCATGTGCTTTATCGGTTGCGCAAGCTAGATGTCAGCTACTGCGACCATACCTTCACAGACGAGGAGCGAAACCTGGTAATCATCCCTAACAACACGATCCACTCTGTCCAGACTATGCAAGTTCATTATACTACATACGACATGAGGCACGACTACGACACGATCAACCCTCGAACGCATGCGGACGTTATGGTGGTTTCGGGTGAGACAACGCCCAACCATCCATATTGGTATGCCCGCGTATTAGGAATATATCATATTGAGACGTGGCTCAACAACGGAGCTCAGCCGGTGAAGCAACACCTTGAAATTCTTTGGGTTAGATGGCTGGCCCCTTTGCAGAACCATAAATCTGGTACGAGATATGCTTGTCTTCCCAAAGTCGCCTTCGTGGAGGAATCCGACACAGACGCATTCGGGTTTCTTGACCCAGGGCAAGTGATTCGGGGAGTGCACTTGATTCCAGCCTTTGCTTCGGGACGTGGTGTTAGCTCGCTTTGCCACGGAAAATCATTGGCACGTCAGGAAGGGGAACTAGATGATTGGGAGGCCTATTACATTGGCATGTGAGCGTAAATATCTGTTCTTATGTATATTGATCCTTATCCTCTCATGCAGATTTGCTGACCGAGATATGTTCATGCGCTATGGTTATTTAGGTGTGGGGCATCCGGTAATGATGCGAAGAATGATCAGAGATTGTCTTAGCCCTGGATCAGCTGGCGACATGAACGTTGTGGACGACGCTGACGAGGTAGATGTGAGCCATGCAGAGAATAGTGACAGCGAGGGTTGTGACGGATGCGGCGAGGATGATGATGAAGATGATGGGACGAGCGATGAAGAA